AGTGTAATGTGTTCAAGGAATCAAATTGCCTTCAAGGTGATTTGTCTAGCTCGAGTTCAGGTCCCACTTCAGTACAGCCTGGAGCCCACTCCCTTTGGAGAATCCCATGCTGTATGTGTGAGACTTGATTCGGCACCAGCAAGAGTCATAGAGTGTCCCTTAGGTCATAAATAGACCCTCCTGCTTGGGTGAATCCCTGCACCCCTCCTGTAATGTAGCGTGGGAGTGAGGCAAGGGTGGGAGTTTGTGAGTTCTCATATCTGTTCCTCCCTGTTGTGACTGGGGACCAAAGTACCATGTGGTTCCTGATGGATTCAAGGGACTGAAGCTCATGGAAATCTGGGAGCAGCTCCATGGAGTAGTGATGTGGACGAGAGTGATTTTTAGGGAACCCCGCTCCAGATGCCGCCTCACCCCATCTAATTCCAGCCTGCAGGTAAACTTGGGGAGAGCAGAGCCCCAGAAAAGCAAGGTCTAACTCAAAGTCACACCAAGGATGGGAATTGAAACTGGTCAATTATGTGACTGCCCCCAGATCACTCATGTCCTTATGTCCTTATGCAGGCCTGTGCTGAGTCCCTGCTGGAAGGAGGGGCCCTTGCTTGGGGACATGTCTTTGTGGTAGATAATACAAATATGTACTGGCCAGAATGTTAGCTCTGGCCTATGGACTGCAGCAGTCAGGATGAGTTCCTTAGAAGAGGAGATAAAGTCTGGCTCTCCAGAGTGGTGGATGAGGGATCCCGTGGGGAGCAGGTTTGACCAGGTTGTCATGTTTCATTTGTTGAGTCTTCCTGGGACTTCCTCAATTTAATCTTATTCTGGCCTCATGATGGGCTTATCTCCCTTGCCCTTTATACACTTTTCCATTACAGATGCAGATATTATCTGAGCTTGTGTACCAACTCCTGGACCCTAGTCCTGGAACTCTGCTTAGGGGGACAGCTGAATGATCTGGGAGCAGTCATTTTCTCTCTCTGTGCCTCAGTTTCTTAGTTAAAGAATGGTGGTTGTGAGGGGTCAGGGAAGTTGCTTGAGTGGTAGAGCACATGCTTAGAATGTGCAAAGTCCTCAGTGTGATCCCTAGCATCGCTTGGCACCCTAGTACCATCAGGCGAAGCCCTGGTGGTCTCTAGCACTGCCACCCCTGAGACTATAGCACTGGGCTCAAGGACCAAGTTGTTAAGCTGCATTGCTAGCTGAGGGTCCCTGGGAGTGACCCTGGTACACACCTCCTTCCCAGTGCTGTGTGTGGCCCCTATTAAAAAATATGAATGCTGATAAGAACGTCCTCTGCTGCTAATATTTATCAAGTGCTCAGCACAAAGCCAGCACATTGAAAATACAATATCTATATATGTGTGTTTGCTTGAAGAGTTATCAAAGGAACAAGCTAATTGTAGGTTTTGAGCAAGCACTGCACGGGAGGGAAATGGGTGATGACGTGAGAGCTTTCTGGGGAGCTGGAAATGTTTTCTGTCTTGGTTGGGGGGGTGACTGTGGGGGTGTTAAAACTCTTGAGCTGAGTCAAAACTTAGACCTGTGCAGCTTCCTGTATAGAAAGTGCCCCTCAGTGAATACCAAGATCATAAACAGACAAGTCAAGGGTGAGGGAGAGTGAGGGCCCCTTGAGGGCCTTTTGAGACAGGCTAGCTTGGAAGACTTGTGAGAGAAGGTGAAAGAGGAGGAAGCGATGGGGTAGAAAGATGAGGAAACTGAGGCTCTCAAAAGGTTTGGGGACACATTTCTGGTCAACAGGAGGGATCGAGAATGACAACCCAGAGATTGCTTGGCAACTGGACCAATCTTCCCTGCTAGGGACCGGTGGGGCTCTTGTGTTTCCTGAGGGCAGCCCTTTCCTGCCCCTGTGCCTGTTCCCGGGGTCCTGGCACTCAGAGAAGGGCTATTTTAATCTGCGTGAGAAATGTTCCTAAATATGGACTGTGTGTTGTGGGAGGCACTGCAAGGCTCCAGCTCAGGGTGGTGCCACCTGCTCCTCCACTTCAGCTAAGCCCAGGGCGCAGGCCCAGCCATAGGCCCCGTGGCCCCTCCTCCACCATCTCCTCTCCCTTCCACTCTTTCGGGCTCCCTCCAGCCCCTCGCACATCTCCAGATCCCTTTTGCTCAGAAGCTCATTGGTTTCTGCTTGAGCCAGCCACCATACTGACCAGCCCAGCCTATACCCCTTAAGCTGCTTTCAGCCTGAGGGGAGGTCCAGAGACAAAAACCACTGGGGAAGATGCTGGGAGGACTATCCAGAGGAGGAAGCATCTGAACTGAGCCCAGAATATTCCTCCAAAAAAAAAATTGGACCTGATGGAGAAGGAGGCAGGGCAAAAGCACATGTGACCTCAGCATAGGGATTTGAGACTGTGGTTTCTTTAGGACCGGAATGTATCATCTGGCCAGAGCAGAAGGAGGTTTGGTCGTCCAATGTGACAGAAAATGAATTGGAAGAGAAAGGAAAGCTCTGAATACCAAAGGAGGAGGTAGTCATTATCTGGAGGAGGGCGGTAGTGGAATGTGTGTGTGTGTGTGTGTGTGTGTGTGTGTGTGTGTGTGTGTGTGTGTGTGATTTAAAGTAGGGGAGAACAAAAGAGCCAGAGGGGAAAGTGTAACTGAAACCCCCAGAAAAAGCCAGGCAGGAGGCCGCTGGGGTAGGCTGGAGGAGTGGGCGGAGGGCTGAGGAGGCCGAGGGAGAATATTGCATCTTGGTTGAAGATTGGGCTGGAATCACTGCAGCACGCAAGGGGCCAGGCTTGAGAATGATTGAGACTGCCCCAGTGTTGTGAGCAGGAGGCCACTACTCAGGGGCATGTGGGCATGGAACTGAGGGGTTCCTGGGAGGCAGAGGCAGCAGAAGCTGGCACTATAGGTTCAGGTTTGGGGTGTATGTCCACAACAGCCTCTGTGCACACGCCCAGCTTGGCCTGGATGATCAAAGAGGAGTCCCTAAGTTTGGGGGCTCACCCAGCTTCTCACATTCCCAGGCTAGGGTGGAACAACTCCAGAGCAGAGGATCAGCCAAGGGGCAGCCGATGTGAAATTCATGCCTTCCTCTCCCATCTCTGAGACTGTGTTTCTCAGCCTTTTCCCAACTGTGGCCCCCTTCTGACTTTTCCCTTAAAGGTCCCATTACCCCTTGTCCCTGGCCTAGATTTCCTAGTGGACACCCTAATCTCATGGCCCCCCATTTATCTATCTTTCACTTCTGTTCCTCTTGGAATATCCTGGGTCTCCTATTGAGAAATAACATTGCTCTAAGACACTGGCCTGCCCTGGTTTACTTTTGCCTTGAGAACGTGGCCCCAGAGCCACCCTCAAATTGTGCTTGGCATTCCCCATCCACAGAGGAGGAGTACCAGGCTAGGGCAGCCTGGGGTCCAGCAGGTGCTGACAGGATGGGGCTGACTCGAGCCTCAGTGTTGGGCATCAGCCATCTTGGTCCACAGCCAGAGGAAACAAATGTACAAATGTGTTTGGGCCTCAGCTGAATGGCGCTCTCTCTCTCTCTCTCTCTCTCTCTCTCTCTCTCTCTCTCTCTCTCTCTTCTCTCTCTCTCTCTCATGTATGTGATTGTGTGTGCATGTATGTGTGTCTGTGATTGTGTGTGCATATATGTGTGTGTGATTGTGAGTGATTGTGTGTGTGTGTGTGTGTGTGTGTGTGTGGTAGGGAGATGGCTCATTTCTGCTTTCCCCCATTTTCAGATTACTTACCTCCTCCTGCGTGCTGATTTCTCCACCTACACACCACCTCCTCCAGGCAGGACACTGCAGGGCCTCGCTCATTCCTGGGACTGGCCATATGGTGGGCAGCCATAGACCAGGGCGGAGTAAACCTGTGCCAGGATCATCCTGAGGCCGCCCACCTGTTGCCTGCTTTGCTGTGATGCATCCTGTGTTGGGGTGGGGGTGTGGGTGTGGCAGTGGTGATGGGGTGCTCTGATGACTCCATTCCACAGACTTCTGGGGTTGTGAGGGTTTTTCTGAGTCATGGGAAGAATTTAGTCCCCAAACGGTTTCACTCCTTCAGGCTATCATCTGAACTGGGGTCCTCCCTGGGCCCAGACTCTGCCTCTCTGTCCACACCCCTTATGCTAAGGGCTATATGCCTGGGCAGTGGTGCCTCCCTGAGACTGTCACCTCCCTTCAGCAAGGAGGTGGCATATGGTTCCGCCCTGCATGGCAGCCCCAGAGAGGATGCAGAATCCCCCAGGAGCTGGGCTTTGACTGGTATCCCTGCCCGGACAGCTCACATTAGAAGCAGTTTGCTTGATAGTGACAGTTTCCTTCCTGTCCTCGCTCCTGGAGAGGTAAAGTTTTCACCTGCTGGCGTGTAGCCTTGACTTCATCTTTTCCAGGCCTAGTGACCTGGAGGTCTTTGGTGACAGGAAGTCTCTCCTTACCTCAGCAACGTCCTGGCCCTGCTGTATACTAACTGCGGGGCCTCCTGTCATGTCAGCACCCCTTTCCATGTGTCTCTGCCCCTCTGTGTCAGAGAGGGACTGGACCAGGGTTCCTTATGTGATAGGTGCCATCCTGTGCCATCCTTACATGCGCCATTCGCAAACCTGGCCACCACTGTGTCACCCCACTGTAAGACTGGGGTTCAAAGGGTGTGTGGTCTCTGGCCTGAATGTGGGATTTGATGACAAAGCCCAGTCAATTCCCAATTCTCTTGTGCCCCTCAAGAAGGGCAGTAGGGGCTTCTCTAGCCTCTGGAAACAGCCAGCTGTCAGCCACCTCCAAGACCTCCCCGGGTCATCAAACTGTGTGAGGCTGCCCACCCCCGCCTACCACATCCCCCTATCAGGTGCAGAGGCTTATAGAGCCTCAGTTGGAGAGATAGCCAAACTCAGCTCTTGTAAGCTGTGTCATCTCAGGGAGGTCACAGACCTCTTTAAGCTTCTTCTGTGATCTTGTGAGGGCAGGGACATTGGGTGGCCACAGGAGTGAGTTCAGAGTGAGCCTGACATGCCTGTGCCCACCCACCCTCAGCTCCTGTATGACAGTCCCAAGGCCCGGCAGGAGGTAGAGCACCACTGGCAGGCCTCAAATGGCCCCCACATCGTGCGCATCCTTGATGTGTATGAGAACATGCATCACAACAAGCGCTGTCTCCTCATCGTCATGGAATGGTATGTCGGGTCACCCGCCTGGGCCCCTCGTTGGGACTCCTGGGCCTCTGGCTTCTGGGCACTCTTCTTCTCTAGGCCCTCTCTGTTCTTCTTTATTTTGGGGGGCGGGAGTGAGGGGAGGACTCCTAAGGGGTGCTCAGGAGGTCCAGGGGCCCCTCCAAGAGGGCCAGCAGTGGCCCTCTCAGCTCTTCAGCTAGCTGCTCCAAGAGATGTGCCAGCCCAAGGGCCAGAGTGGGGGCCTTGTAGGTCCTGCTCTCGGGGTTACGCTGCATTCCCACAGGGTGACAACATTCCGGTGCTGGGATGTGGCTTCCTGGCTGTGCTTTACCTTCTGTAAGGAGCAGGGAGGGAGACAGAGGAGGCCGTCACGCCCTGAATGTGGAGGTGGGGAGGTCTGGGAGACACAGGACATTCATAGACACCCTCCCGCCCCCCCCCCCCCCCCCCCCCCGCCAGCACCACTGCATCTTTCACCAGGGGCCTTTCCCACCAGCCCCATGGCCCAGCCAACATATTTCCAGCCCGTGGGCTTTGGCTTTCAACCCTCCCTCTCTGCCTTTTAAGTCTCCCTTACTCCTGGGCTCGCCAGCCCTTTAGACAGATTTGAAGTTCAGATTCTGACTCTGTTGCCCAGTAGCTACGTGACCTGGGCAGCTGTTAACCTCTCTGAATCTGTATTCTTGTGTAAAATGTAGAGGCAGATCTTCACAAAGCATCTACCCCTTGCCTGGCCCCTTTGTTTTTCTTTTTCTTTTTTTTTTTTAAATTTTTATTAGTGAAATACCATTAGGAACAGTTGTAGACTTACAAATTTTTGTGCTTGGATTTCAGTTATACAGTGATCCAGTACCCATCCCTCCACCAATGCCCATTCTCCATCATTTACATTTTTAAAAAAATTTTTTTGTTAGTGAATCACCATGAGGTACAGTTGTAGATTTACAAATTTTTGTGTTTGGGTTTCAGTTATACAATGATCAAACACCCATCTCTCTACCAGTGCCCATTTTCCACCACCAGGGGTCTCAGTATCCCTCCTACCCCTCATCCCCCCATGCCACCCTGCCTCTGTGGCAGGGTATTCCCTTTTTCTCTCTCTCCTTTTGGCCTGGCCCCTTTCTTAGGGACTCCATGTGTGTTCTTTTTTTCAGTCTTCAGAGATCTGTGACATTGGTGTTATAATCCACATCTTACAAAGAGGAAGGCTGAGGCACAGAGAGGCCAAGGCACCAGTCCAGGGCCACACAGGAAAGCACTCCAAGGGGTTCACCCAGAGTATATGGTGGCTGGTGCTTAGAACACTGTGGCCCTGATGATAATTGGGATCTTAATCCATGTTTGGGAAAACTGAGAAATTGAACAGGGGTGGAACTGCCCAAGCCTTATCCCAGTGCGATAACATGGGCTCCCTGGCAGGATCTAAGTCCCCTCTCCTAGTTCCAAGATCTCAGTGAAGCCCATCCAATCCAGTAGCCCACCAGGCACTAGGCTCTGCAGGGCACAAGAAGGTCGAGAGTGATTGTTTTCAGGGGAAGAACAACATGTTCTGTGGCCCCTGCTATGGGCCAGGGGTATGACGCCGATTCCAGCTTGATTCCTGCTTCCTTCTCTTACAGCATGGAAGGTGGTGAGTTGTTCAGCAGAATCCAGGAACGTGGGGACCAGGCATTCACTGAGAGAGGTATGTTCATGCAGCTGGGCCAGTGCAAAAAATGGGCTGGACTGGATGGTTTTGCTCTGAAATGTCAGGCAAGGTGCCAGTCCTCTGTCTCAGTGTCCTCGAGGCCAGAGAGGCATTGACAGAGCATCTTCCTCCACATTGCTCTGTGACAGTTGAGGTCTCAAGCATTCTTGGCACCAACCAGCAGTTGATCTGGGGAGAGATAGTCTAGGTCTGAGGAAGGAAGTCCAGGTGGGCTGGGGGTGCCCCCGCAGTGGCTAGAATGCCTAGGGTTAGAGGATGGCACAGGGACTCTGGGGGACGGGAGTGCTACCCTCTGTTGTGATAGCCTAAGGAGGACAGTTAGTGTGGGGGCCCCAGGCTCTGACCTTTGACTGGCATCACTGTCCTCATCCATTCGATGCAGAAGCTGCAGAGATCATGAGAGATATTGGCACCGCCATCCAGTTCCTGCACAGCCAGAACATCGCCCACCGAGATGTCAAGGTGAGGCTCCAGTACCTGGGCTGGATTCAGCCAAGTGCCTTGGTGGGCATTTAGATCCTAGACAGACTCTTCTCTGCCTCTTCGCTGATGAGCCTAACATCCTCATTCCACTCTAGCCTCAAGGGTCTCCTGTTTCTTCTGAATTCTGTTTCTTCTGAATTACTCCACATAGCAAGAAGAGTAGCCAAGTGCTGACCTCCAGCCACTAAGCCCTGACAAGTACCTAGTTTAATCCTTACCCAGCCTTGTAACTGGTAGCTTTACTCATTTTACAGATAAGTAGAGTGAGGCTCAGAGAGATTAATTTTCTTGCCCAGGGCTATGCAGCTGCTGTGCTGGGATTTGTTCATTCATTTGTTTACTGTTTCAGCAAGGATTTTTGTGAACAATAATATGCCTGGCCTTAGGCAGGAACTCCCTGGCATAGTTGGGGCTTCAGTGTGGGAATGGCCATAGTTTCAACAAAAGAGGGCCTCTAATGCCAGCATATGAAGAACCATAAACTGGGCACTGGAGTTAGGAGCAGAGTAGTCCCAGTGAGGGATGTTTGCTTCTTCAGTCAATGGACTTGAGAGACATTCTAGAGATTTGACTATTGAAATTTCTTATCAAGAAAGAATGGGGTCTTAGGGTCAGTAGTGAAATGCCATCCAGTACAGCCTTATATGCACTTATACCCATACATGTGAACCCACACACTCACACATGCACTTATATCTACTTTTGTGCACATTCATGCACACTCATGCATGCGCTTGTACTAATGCCTGTGCCACCCACGCTCACAGATGACCTCATACCTATTCATGCACACACACAAACACTTATCCATGCTCTTTTCCTTACACATGCTCATGCACTCCTACTCTCACATGTGTACACACACACTCACACATGCACTTGCATGCTCACTTGTGCACACACATGTGCCAGCAACCATAGGAGAAGAGTCTGCACTACCTGGGTCCACTGCCCCAGGCGAAGAGCCTGATACTGAACTCTCCTTCACCCCTTTGCTTATTCTCATCTGAAACAGACAGAAGGTTCAGCTGCTGCATTGTTCTTCCCTCTGGCTGAGGACTTCCCAAGTCATATCTTTAGCTGTAACTGCCAGAAACATCTTCTGAGTCCTGGTTTTACTTTGGTTGTCATTTCCTTTAGTCTCAAGGGCAGAGAAGTCTTCTGCAGGGAAATAAGCTTGTACAGACTAAACCTACTTTCCTGGTTTTATACCAGTCCAAAGTCAGATGGTCTCAAATAGAATCTGAGAAATAACTTTCACTAGCTCCACATTGAAACTTCATCTAACAGCTCATCTTCTTGCCCATTCCTGATTGGGGATCCTTCCTGCTCCTCTCCATGGGCTTAGGTCCTGCTCATTCATTAAGAACTAGCCTCAGAGCTGCCTTGTCCATGAGGGCTCCACTGCCCATCCCTCTCCAATCCTCTTTCTGCTCAATAACCAGCAAGAACAGCCCCTCTGTAGCTCTTTGGCCTCAGAAGAGACTTTCTTGAGCACCCTCAGGTGGGCCTATCTATCCTGCTGGTTCGTGTGGGCAGGCTATGTATTTGACACTCATGTGACTAGTGGGCAGCCAACCTCCCCACCAACCCCCCATTTTGGCATTTCCTAGCAATTGCAAATTTGGTTCCTGCCCTGTACTCACAGCTATACTTGGTTATCACTACTTGACTGAAAGCCTCATTTTCACCTTCATCTTCTCCATATTTGACCCATGTGGTTGGTAGCCAAGGTCCAGGTCTTTTTTTTGACTTTTGTTTTTGATCTGGGGTCATACTTGGTGGTAGCCAGTGGCTATTCCCAGCTCAGAGGAGTGTTTCTGGCAATGTCTGTGAGACCATGTGACACAGTGCTAGGGATGGTACCCAGGACTCTGAGCCCCCACCCCTACCCAGCCCAGGCATTGTTCATGAGATAGACCTGATTCCCATGTTCTGGGGCAAGTGAGAGAGGAATCTGGCTAAAGATCACTTTGGGTGATCTACATGATGCTTGACTCCAGACAATGCTTTCTTTTCCTTGTCCAGCCTGAAAACCTGCTCTACACCTCAAAGGAGAGAGATGCAGTACTCAAGCTCACTGACTTTGGTTTTGCCAAGGAGACCACCCAAAATGCTCTGCGGACGCCCTGCTACACTCCTTATTATGTGGGTGAGTTGTTGAGGATATGGTTGTTGCACCGGGCCCTGCTGTGGGTTGCAGAAGTCAAAGGGTTAAAGCCCGGTGAGGAGGGTAGGGGAGGATTCTGTCTGTGTGCAGGCAGTGATGTGGGGGGAGGAGGGGGCAGGCGGAGGCTGCAAAAATATTCTCCCAAACTTGAGCTTCTGCTTTTGAAAATAGATCCAGGAAAATTTTGGCTGTGGCCTGCGAGCTGAGTGACATCACAGCAGCTCTAAATATATATGTGATAAAAGGCTGCCGTCAGCTCGGGATGGAGCCAGCCGTGCTGGTTTTCCTCCAACTCTTATCTTCCTGGATTCATATTCAGAAAGTGGGCAGGTCTTTCCTCCTACATTTGGGGGATACAGGGCACCAGCCCCCCTGCCGCAGGGGAGAGGCTACCTTAGGCCAGGGTCTGAGTAGCACCTGGGGTGTGCACATACTCCTGCTTTCTGGAAAGGTTCCCTGTTCCCCTGTGAAGGGAAGTCCGCAGATCTGGAGATCCTGGCGGAAAGTGCCTTACCTAAAAGGGGGGTGATAACTCACCTCACTGAGGTTTTGTCTCCCTTAGGAGAGAGAGGCCTTTCAAGAAAACTGCTTAAGAGGTGGGGAGTCCCAGAGGTGACTGAGTGGCATTCTATTTGCCAGGATGTTTCTACAGTAATTTGACAGAGAAATCTGGGAAATTTTTTGACTACCCCTTAGATGGGAAGAGGTCAAGACCCTAGGGGATGGTGGACAAGCTTGCATGAGCCCTAGAACCCCTGAGACCACCTCTGCCTCCTGCTGGGCAAGCTGTGCATTCAGGGCGGCAGGGTAGCCCCATCAGCCAGACTCTGACTCCTTCTTTTTCTTCCCTCCCGACTGAGGAGAGGGAAAGGCTGAGGCCAGCCTTGAGAGCGACTCAGGGCCCAAAGGACTCAGGGGACCCACCCTCCTCTCAGCTGTGCCTTCAAGCAGAGCTATTTTTTCCCCCTTTGGGAGCTGGCTTCCTTCCTCAACTTCACACACAGGCTGCCTTCCCCGAAGGTGCCAGACACCAGTCTGCACTGCCCCTCCCCCGCCTCTCCGCTTGGCACCTGCTCCCCACCTTGCCCTGGCTCAGACTCCCACCAGGGCTCCAAGATCCTGGGGCTGAGAGCCCTTCTGTGCCCTCTGCCCTGGTAGCCCCCGAGGTGCTGGGTCCAGAGAAGTATGACAAGTCATGCGACATGTGGTCCCTGGGCGTCATCATGTACATACTGTGAGTACCCCCACCTCCAGCTCAAATTCTCCTTCCTGTTTGTGTCCTCAGTACCCTACACATATTGGGGTGGGACTTGAGTGGCCCCCACTCAGGAAGGCTGTCCTCTGCCCAAGCTGTCCTGGACATGTCTCAGAATCCAGAAGATACTGTCATTGCCATGGAGTCAGGGACTTGGGGAAGAGAAGGCACCCACGTTGGCACTGCCCCCAACCCTGTGCCCAATGACCTCCATCCTCCCCCAGCCTGTGTGGCTTCCCACCCTTCTACTCCAACACGGGCCAAGCCATATCCCCAGGGATGAAGAAGAGGATCCGTCTGGGCCAATATGGCTTTCCACATCCTGAATGGTCGGAGGTCTCTGAGGATGGTGAGTGAACCCACGCTTTCAAGACAGGGCCCCTTCAGCCTCATTTTGGGCACACCAGTGGTGTCAAACCTACCTGGGTTCAAATTCTGGCTCCCTCACATCTCAGCTGTGATACCAGAGACAAGTCACTGAACTTTCTTTGTTTTAATTTTCCATTTTGTTTTGGGGCCACACCCAGCAGTTCTCAAGGTCTATTCATGGCTCAGTGCTTGTGGTAACTCCAGCAGTGCTTGGGAGACCACGCAGTGCTGGGGATTGAACTTGGACCTTCTGCATGCTACATTTGTGCTCCAGCCCACTGAGCTTTCTGCTTGGCCCTTACTTAACCTTCCTGAACCTTAATCTGTTCTGTGTTTCTTCATGAATTACTGTAAACACAGTGGTTTGACCCAAACGGTTATTAGTCTCTGTGGGGTAGGGTGCTCAAGCAGTTACCACACCCACAGGGCCTCTGGTTCACAGAGAAATGAGGGGGAACTGCTCTGAGAAACTCTGCAACCTCTTTTTCTCCTTTCTTTCCTAGCCAAGCAGCTGATCCGCCTCTTGCTAAAGACAGATCCCACCGAGAGACTAAACATCATACAGTTCATGAACCATCCCTGGATCAACGTGAGTATCTGATGCTGCTGTTGGGGCCTCAGATCACTGGCCTGAGCAGGTTCTGGAGGAGCTGCTAGGAGCTACAGATATGAGGGCATGCCCTGCCTACAACCTGACTTTGCCACTTCTCCTGTCTGACTCTTTCACTCTTTTCCCCATCTAAGACTAAAAGAAAGGGGTTGTGGTGGGGGAGGGGTGCAAGTTGTTCCAGATGTCTGCAGGTTCTAATACGTGGACTTGGAACTCCTTCCAGCAATCCATGGTGGTGCCACAGACCCCACTCCACACGGCCCGAGTGCTGCAGGAGGACAAAGAACACTGGGATGATGTCAAGGTGGGTGCACTAGACCTCAGTCTTCCTGTAGATCCCAGGTTTGAGATTAAGGGCTGATAGAGTGATGGGTTTCTGGAGCGGAGGCCTTCCTTTGATCCTCCACACATGCCTCAGAGCCTTTGGATGCCCTCATGGCACCAATATCTCACTGTGGCACTTGGAGCACTGATGTCTCCTGGCCCTGTGGGAGCTCAGCTCCTAATTTGCATCCTCAGTGAAAGGGAGTTGTGGGCCGGAGGCTCAGTGAGGAAACATTAACCCCAAGCTTTGGCCATAAATCTCTCTCAAAGCCAGCATTTGGGAGCGTGATCAGCTAGGTGGTCCTGAAAGACTGGGTCTGAGCATTGCAGGATGGTATTCCCTATAGGCCTGATGGGTCTGAGCAGGCAACATTAGTCCAGGCCCCTGTCCTACTTACCCAGATCTCAGGCAGTCATTTTGTCCTTTCTGTGCCTTGTCAGAGAAGTTCAGGGTTATGAGGGTTAGGTGTCACAAAGTCATGGGTCCCCATGCCCATGGACACTGTCGTCACTGAAGGGCTCCCAGGTTTGAGTATGATGACCTATGCCCCCTCTGGCTTCGTCCCCAGGAGGAGATGACCAGTGCCTTGGCAACCATGCGGGTAGACTATGACCAGGTGAAGATCAAGGACCTGAAGACCTCTAATAACCGGCTCCTCAACAAGCGGAGGAAGAAGCAGTCAGGTGGCTCCTTGGCCTCCCAGGGCTGCAGCAACCAGTAGCTTGTGAACTTCAGTGGAGCCTCTCCTTGGCCTGGAGAGCTCCGAGACCCTGAGTGGAGGGTCCAGGGCTTTTTTTTAAAAAAAAAAAACCAAAAAGGTTATTTTGTTGTGTTTAACTTATCCCTTGGGTCTTCAGGGTGTGGGACCCTGCCCCAAGCCCTCAGAGCCCCAGCCAGAAGGGCTCAAAGCATACAAGTGGGAGACCCACTTACTGCAGTTCTACACCTTTGACCAGAGGCTGAATGTTGGCAGCTCTGTCCACCTGTGGCCATCCTGGTCACTGGGAAGTCAGAGTAACCTCCCTCCCACTATAGGGTGGGCAGCTGGGCCTGGCCTTGGGAAAGGCATCAGACATTGGTTGCTATGGTAACCAGAAAGGCGTGTTGCCATCTCCGAATGCCAAGTGAGTGAGCTGAGGATGGAGAAGGACCATTGAGGTTCTGCCTGTATCTTTGCTGGGAGGCCAGTCTCCTGCACATAACCTGCCCCTCCACCCAGGCCTCAGCCCTCCCCTCTCAGCATGCCTCTCTGTTTTTTCTGAGGTCACAGCATCCAGTCCGTTCACCTCCTTGGGGTGGCACGGTGCTGGTGGTGGTGGGAGCTAAGTTTTTCAAGCCTATCTTGCCGCAGTCTCATCCTTCAGAGCCTGGGAACTCTTCTTCCACAGAGATTCAGCCATTCCCCTTCTATCTTCAATCAGTGTCCTCTCTTTGCTGAGAGTGGAAAGTATTTTTCATCCTTTTTCACGCTGGAAAGTCTTACTGTTATAAAAGCTCACACAGTTCCTCTGTTCTCCCTGCTCCCCTCATTCAGGCAGGAGAGCCCCTCTCCCTGATGTCTGAGCCACAGGGCTGGATCTGGGTACATATTTCTGGGAGTAGATGGCTGTTGGCAGGGGGAGAGCCTCCCTATTAATCTGGGTTGTTTTCCTATACTCTGGGTTCGACCTGCGATGGTGGAGGGCCTCTGAGTGAAGCTCCGGAGATCTGCTCCTAGCTGTAACCTGAGTCGGAAGCAGGAAGGGCTCATTTCTTGATCCTCTGGGCTTACCCAGCCCTTCACTGTCCAGAGAGTAACTTCAGGGTGCTGAGGGCCCAGAGTGGGCCTGACAAGTGCCTGACACTCGGCCTGGTGCCTGCTTCCTGCCCTTTCTCTTACTGACTGGGAAACTCTAGACCCTGTCACGAAGGATATTGCTGGGCTTTACCTTCAGATATTAATAAATTAAAAAATGCCATTTTGGCATTTGTTGCCCCCCTGCTTCCTAGGTTTCTCTTTATCTGAATGAGTGAATGAAAGTGGCTCAAGGGCAGCTGCTAGCGTCTAATAGTGGGTACTCCCCTCCTGGAAAGTGTGCCTGGGACATTTGCCAGTCTGAGACCAGGTGCGGCAAGGTCAGAGGAGCTGAGGGCGGATGGTGGCCCCCAGCCTCCAGCTCAGTGCTGCCCTGGTGCCCTGTGTGTGTGACACCCACCCCCAGGCCCGCGTGCGCCAGCATCTGCCCACAGTGGCCACCCCCAGCTGCGTGCCAGCCTGCTGAAGGGCGGGCAGAGTTCCTGCTGCAGCGCTGTGCTATTTTCAGAAGCTGCCAGATTTCATTTGGCAGCAAGAATGTTGGGGAGTGGAGGGGGCGGGACGCTGGGAGACTGTCTTTTGACTACTCCGGCAACGGCGCACCCTCAGCCGCAGGAACCCTTGCGGGCAGCCTTGAGGGGGCCTTGACAGTGGCATATTCTTTCAGCTCCAATCTCCACACCTCCTAGTTTTTCAAGAGCTCATCTGGCACCCGCAATGCTGCCTCCTCCAGGTGGGGGGGAAGGTGTGAGATTCTGGGAGGCAGCAGCAGGCAAGTGCTGAGCTGTGTGCTGCTTCCCAGCTTGGGACCTTGGACCAGCCTCCAGGCTTTCCCAGCTTGGTTTTCTAACTATGCTGTGGGGAATGACAGTGCCCACCCTGTGAAACCACCCTGGGGATCCAGGCTGTTATGTGAGTCCTTGGTTGGTGCAGGATTCAAGCCCAGCACCCATTTGCCACTCCAGAATCCTTAATCCTTAGTGAAGAAGTTGCTCAAAGGAAAAGTCATTTAGCCCCAAATGCTGTTCTGGAACTTTCCCACCCCACAAAACTAAGCCTTTTCTACCCATAGGGTGACATTCTCCACACCAGTATCATATGGGCTTCTGGGACCTTGGTTTTAGCCCTGGGCCTCCTGAAGGGACCCCTGGGCTCCACAAATGACTCCTGGGACCTTAAGAGCCTGTGGTTTAGACTGACCCTTGTGCTGTACTCAGACTGGCAGAGATTCTTCCTGGGGGTAGACAGATTCCTTCATAGGACTTCTGTGCAGCCTCCAGGCCTGAGACCAGTGCTAGGAAGACAGCAGTGCAAGCTGTGGACAAGGATTTCACCTCAGGGAATTTACACTCAAGAGGACGAAACTTCACACAAGTCCCTGTTCACTCTCAGACCTTGATGTGGCCTATGAAGGAATGATGTTGGCTTGAGGAATTATGGTGCAGTTTAGGCCAAAGAAAATTGCCCAATTCCAGGGCCTGGGAAGGGTGCCTGATGCTTATAGGCTTGGAAGCAGAACTGTAGGGATCAAAGCTTTTAGGAAATTTGTGTAACCCTAAATTCTTTCTGTTAGGGGCTGTACTTGATCTGCCTTCATGGCCTCCTCCACATGCAAGACCATAACTACAGTAATACTTAGCAGGGGTACTTGCTGGGGTGTCTCAGGTGCATGTCAGTCCCAGGAAAGAATTTCTACTTGCTGTATTTGGCACATTGCTATTTCAGGGGTGGTGAGTTCCTTTTTCTGTGACTCTCTCTCTCTCTCTCTCTCTCTCTCTCTCTCTCTCTTCTCTGTATCTATCTCAGTCTCAGTCTCTGTCTGTCTGTCTCTCTCTGTGTATGTGTGTGTGTGTAGAAAGTTACTGCTCAGTATTCAGTAGAGGAGAGATAGACGGGCTGACTCCCAATCTCCCACGTTGGCTTGACCCCTTCCAAGAACCCATGAGTGCTCGGCCCAGTGACAACCGAACCATGTGTCTGGCCTCTCATATCTGGCTTCATGGAGCTCTCTAAAGCCAGAACTGGGAGGAGTCTGGCCAACTCACATTCTTTGGGTCTCAGTTTGACTGTGCAATGGGAGCAAGCATCTGGTAATTCACTGGTGTCAGTGAGCTAAGAAATCAAGTGGCCATACGTTCACAGCAGCATTTTCAGTTACAGGCATGGGTATATGGAGCTTCCTTGGGAGCTTTGATGGGAACTAAAATTCCTTCAGAGATATACAAACAAATGCACATGTGTAAGTCACATGTATGGTGTGTTAGTGCCTGTGCAGATGTGTATGTGAAGCGTTTATTCCTAGTGATGCACCCCTGACCCAGTCAACAGCAGAGTTCTCTGTCTTGCAAACCTGGTGCTGGCAGGCTTCCAGTGGCCTGGCTCATTGCTATTCCACACCAGCCCCTCTCCGCCCTCGATTCCGCCCCTCCACTGCAGCATCAGAATTGAGCCTCAGAATGCAGCCTGCTGCAACCTCTGCAGGGGTCTCCGAGCTCCCCCGTCTGCTTAAGTGCTCTCTGACAGGCGTGGGCAGGAGACATAGACCCTGGCTGACTCTCTTCCCAATTTGACTGCTTTGGGTTGAGCCTGGTATTTCCAGTGGGTTTTTATAGCTGCCCCTACACTCAGATTCTACCCTTTGTCTGATGGGGCAGTCAGCAAGTTCAGTGCTTGGAATCTAGGCCAGCAGGCAGGAAAGGGTCTGGGAAACCCTCCTCCTACCCTGTATGTAGTGAGTTTATTTCATTTAGAGATGGGAGAGCTGTACTTTAGTTTACATGAGGACTTGGGGAAGGCTATTCCACTTTTTGAGGTTTCCTTTAATAAAGTGAGACACTGATTAAGCAGGGCCAGATCTGCTGGCACTCTTGGTAGGCAAGCTACCAGTAGTTGATTCACTGTGAGCATGCTCTACAGTTCCAAGCAGATGATGCATTTTGCTGGACCTCAGTTTTCTTATCTCTTAAATGGGCTATGCGTCACAAAATGGAGCTGGGTAGAGAAGGAAGAAAGGCTGTTATTCTCTTAAGTCTTGGCTATCAATGCAGCTTAAGTGTCTGCTGGGACTTGGTCAATTCTGCCAGCTTTGTCTCCCCTGACCAAGAAGAGGCAGCTGGTGAGTCAAGAAAACCACCTTCCTGGCTTTCAGACCAGCTCAGGGCAGGTTAATTGGGGTGTGGGGCCACCTGCTGGTCAGTGGGGTGAGCACTCGCTACCTACTGTGTGCCTGAGCAGGGGGTGGGGGAACCAACGTGCTGTGCTGCTCAGTAATGCGGGAGGTCACAGTAAAATCAATAGCTGCTGCTTCCTGAGTGCCTGCTGTGGGCTTTTATGGTTCTGGCACTTTGCTGGATCAACTCATTTAGTCTTCATATGGCCTTCACGTAGCTGGAGACACAGTGCACAATTCTGAGCTACCTTCTCTCCCGAGGGCTGAAGGAAGAAGGCTGCGCTTGGCTGGGGAAAATCACAGAAAGCTTCCTGCAGGTGACAGCATGAATTTGAAGGGCAAGTCGCATTGAATAGACAGAGATTTGGGGAAAGGACATTCCTGCTGGCAGGTACAGAGTGAAACAAGACACAGAGGAAGAGAAGAAATGGCCCTTGTGAAGCAGGGACAACAGGTTGGTCTAAAAGATGGGGAGAGGCGCCTGGTAAGGAGGTGTCAGATTGCCTTGTCCCTTCCTCTGCAGTAAGTCAGGGTGGGGTGCCCATGACAGCCCCTCTCATCATGCCTAAGGGCAGTCTTCTGTATGGTAGATGCAGTCCCCTGTGCCCATGAAGATCACTCACTCTATTGGAGATAATAACAGGTTTATGGTTCAGCTTTTCAAACAATCTGACTGCCTTGTACTTGTTGCTTTGGCCTTTATTTTCAGGTGGCCTGAGTTGGAGATCAGGGCCTGAATTGGATATCAATTTTTTTCTCATCTGAAAATAAATTTGTTAGGAAATATCACATTATTTATTGTCAGATAAGTAATGAAAGCACAAGATTGATACTTTAAAT